AAAAAAAAAAAAAGAAAGAAAGAAAAGAAAATGGATGGAATTGGAGAACACAAGGGCATCCTCGAATCCAAGTTATTCTTTTGCTCAGGAAGGCCACATCTGGCATCTGGTGACCACACCGTGCAATGAAGCACAGAAGACCAGGGACAAGACTCGGCCCTTCTTAGGGCAGTTCCAGTTCACAGGGAGCTGAGGCACGGCCAGAAGTAACCTCAAAGTTGATGAAAGTGCAAAGAATCTGGAGGGGCTGCTCAGGCAGAGGTTACAAATGCCATGGGTGGCCAGGAGACTGGTGGACAGAGAGGAAAAATAGTCCGTGGGTCCCTCTGATAGAGGGGGTCTGAGGGGGCAGCAGAGAGGTGAGGTTGTATCAGTCCACAGACCTGGCCCAGGACAGGGTGGGGTTTGGACACAGGAGAGAGAAGGAAAATGAGGAAGGGGGAGGACAAGTCTTTTCCTCACCTCTAGAGACCCTGTTTTCCCCTAGATGAACAGATGAGTCATTAATAGTCACCCATTCGTGACTCCATGGGGACTGTTCTGTTTGAACCCCACACTTCCTGGTATAAGCTGATAAAAATTAACTCAAGGCCAGCTCAGAGGCTCACAACTATAATCCTAGCATTCTAGGAAATAGAGGAGGAAGACTGCCTAGAGTTCAAAACCAGCCTAAGTAAGAGTGAGACCCCATTTCTACAAAAAATAGAAAACTTAGCCAAGCGTGGTGTCATGCACCTGTAGTCCCAGCTACCCAGGAGGCTGAGTCAGAAAGATCGCTTGAGTCCAGGAGTTTGAGGTTACAGTAAGGTATGATGATGCCACTGCACTGTAGCCAGAAGACAGGGGGCGACTCTGGCTTAAAAAACAAAAAAATTCACCCAAGTAACCAATCTTCTCTAAATCAGCCACATCCTTACAGCTGCTCTGGATAATCAAAGTCCGTACACAGGTTGTTGTGAGAATTACGTGTGTTAAGGTGTATGTAATAAAGTATCGTGTCAGAACTGCGTTAACCACATGATTCATCTAATCATACTGTCAGTGATTAAAAGTGAACCACATCCTCCAGGCCAGCAGTAAGGTAACTGGCCAGTAGGGGCACAGGCTCCCTTCTGTCAGAGCAATGTTGGAGGACATGGCCTCTCTCGAGGTGGGGGAGGTGAGGATGGTGAGATCGCATGCCTTCTGATAGTTATTTAGGTCCCTGGTGTCACCTCCTCCACCAGACTGTGGGCCCCCAGGGAGCAAAATTCCTACAGGATTCATTCTTCCTTGCCCCTCTCCAGGCACAGACTTCCCCAAAGCCAAGGGCTCATCCTCTATGTCATGGGTGAATAACTGCCCTTCAAGACACATGAGGGGTGGCCTCAGCTCACCACCTAAGGACAGGCTCCAGGCTGCAGCACGGAGAGGGGACCACAGACAGGTGCTCCCAGAGGCTGAGTACAGAGCAGAGGCTGGAGAAGCAACCCCACAGAAGGCTCTGGAGCCCTGTAGAGGGCACACAGGGTCTGCCCAGACTGCCTGTGCGTCTGAGAGGAAGCCACCAGGCCAGGGGAGACAGTGGATGGGCAGGATCAGGCCCAGCCATGACGGGGATTACCCATGTTCCCTTTCCTAAGGTGGGCACACAGCCTGACAGGGGTGCTGGCTAATTACCACCAGAAGGTAACCACAGTGCCCTTAGTAGTTTACCAAACGAAGCAACTGAAGAGAAGAAAGTTAAAAGTTAGTGTCAGATGATCAAAGTGATCCCAATACCCAATACACTTTAAAAGGACACAACTAGGGTCAGGTGTGGTGGCTCACAGCACTTTGGGAGACCCAGGTGGGAGGATTGCTCCAGCCCAGGAATTCCAGACCAGCCTGAACTGGTAGAGACCCCATCTGTACAAAAGATAGAAAAATTAGCCGGGCATCGTGGCTTGCGCCTGCAGTCCCAGCTACTCTGGAGGCTGAGATGGCCAAGCCTTGGAGTGGGAGGTTACAGTGAGCTCTGATGACACCACTTCACGCTAGCACCGGGCGAGAGTGATACCTCGTCTTAAAAACAAAAGAAAACAAAACACGACTAAATTCAATATCCAAGAAAGTAAAATTCACAAGAAGCGAGGGAGGGAGGAAGGACAGGAAGGGTGATGGCTCCTGGTGGCTCATGCCAAGGTTACTTGGCCGGCGCCTCGCTCAGCCCGGGAATTCACCCTCGCGCACCCCACAGCGCGCGCTCTTCCCCTTCGCAGCCGAGCAGGGCCTGCCTGGTGCGGGGACGCCGCTCGCCCTCCGACTCCGCCGACAGCTTCGTCCTTCACGGATTTGCCCAACCTCAAGTGCTCGGGCTGGGCACTCCCTGTTTGCCCCGATTCCCCTCCCTCCTCCTAGCACCAGGCGCGCTCTCCCCGAGGAACCGAACGCGGAGGGGACTCACCCGCTGCCAGAGGCCGAAGACGGCAAGGACGTAGACGATGAGGGCGTTGGGCATCTGGAATCCTGACCCAGCTCTCCGCGCGCGCTTGCGTCCCCGGGCCAGCTTTGCCCGGGCCAGTCCCATTGCGTTCGGCCCCGCGGGTCAAACTGCAACGCGAATCAAGAACCGTCCACGGCCGGGCACCGTGGTTCTCCCTGTAATCCCAGCACCCCGGGGGAGGGTGCCGAGGCGGGTGAATCGCTGGAGCTCGGGAGTTGGAGACCAGCGTGAGCAAAGGCGCGACCCTAGTCTCTAAAATAGCCCGGCGCTGTGGCGGGGGCCTGTAGTCCCAGCTATTCGGGAAGCTGATGCAAGAGGATCACGAGCCCAGGAGTTTGAGGTTGCCGTGAGCTATGACTTAACGGCACCCAATCTCCGGGCGACAAAAAAAAAAAAAAAAACAAGAACTGTCCGCAACCGTCCTGGGATCCAGACTGAGGGACCTTCGTTTTCAACCTTCCACGAGCTGTTGGGTCACGCGAGTCCTGTGGGACCGAGTTAATAAATAGAATCTACCGCACCTGAGTTATGAAAACAGGGAAATACCCTCCATCGGAGGAGACAGGAATTAAGCCCGAGCCGCTCGCCAAGCGGTGGCTCGTGCGGCTGCCTTCAGGGCCCCAGGCGCCTGGAGTGAGCCGCTGAAAATCCCGGAGGCAAGTGTAAGGTTAGGGTGGCGTGATGGGGCGGAGGGAGGCGACTCCTCCCAGAATCTCTCTGCGGTAAACCCAAGTTCAGAGTCGATTGTAGGTGGAGTCCCTCTGGTTTTTAAACCCCCCTCTCCTTACACAGAACTTCTTCCCACTCTCAGGATCCAACTCCTCTGCTCCTTGTCGCGATCAACCCTGTCTCATAACAGGAATGCAAATGTGGCGTCCCCTTTCTTCCTTTACAGATGTCACAGCTTTCCTGGGCAAGGGCTCGGCCCTCGCAGCTCAGTAGCTGGGCTCTGTCACCCAAATGCTCAACGAAGGAAGGGATGGGTGGACCCGATGAAGGACACAGAGGGGTGCGGGGGCCGGGGGAGGCGGGTACTGAAAAGCTGCCACATCCTTCCCTGACCACCTTGCAAAGGAAGCATTCATCTTTCAGTCTCCAGGGTTTTTTTTTTTTTTTGCTTTGTTTTGTTGACTGCAGAGTGCTGCGGCCTTAGCCTAGCTCACAGCAACCTCAAACTCCTGGGCTCAAGCGATCCTCCCGCCTCAGCCTCCTGAGTAGCTGCGACTAAACTGTCATTTCCACTTGACCACTCCTGGCGTCAGGCAAGCCAGAGGAACACAGTTCAGCCTTTCTTATGGATTTTCCTTCCCTGTTAGACTTATTTTTTAATATAAAGGTTTTTTTCTTGAGACAGAGTCTCACTATGTTGCCTTCAATAGAGTGCTTTGGCTTCACAGCTCACAGCAACCTCAAACTCTTGGGCTTAAGTGATTCTCTTGTCCCAGCTTCCCAAGTAGCTGGGCCTACAGGCGCCCACAACAACACTCAGCTATTTTTTTGTTGTAGTTGTCATTGTTTAGCAGGCCAGGGCTGGGTTTGAACCCGCCAGCTCGGTGTATGTGGCCAGTGCCCTGACCACTAAGTGATGGGCACTGAGCCTATTTAAAAATTTTTTTGAATTAATATGAGGGCACATACCATTAGGACATGTAATTTACACATGCAAGGTACCATGTTAGATTCTTCTGCGGGGGACGGGGCTGGGTTTGAACCTGCCACCTCTGGCATTCATGTTAGATTCTTGAAAGCCCTTGGGAAGCAGGACCGTGGAGACTGCCTAGCATGGGGAACTGAGTGGGCCTTGGAGGAGCCCCATGTGGGTCAGGCATTTCCAGCCTTACCCATAGCTGTGCCAAGCACAGAGTGCAGGGATCCAGTATTCCAAAAGCAAACTCCAGTCAAGGTCCTGCCTTCATGGTGCTCACAGGGCAAACCAGGGGCTGAAGAGTGGGTAGGAGGGAAGGGAACTGAGGTGCCCTTGGTCTAACACTCAGGCAGGTCTGCAGGGCTGGGGCACAGGTGATCTGGGACTGACCTCCAGGGCACTAGTATTGAGGTTCACTGGTGGGAGGGAGGCTTGGGAATGGCTTCCAGAGCTACACACAACTCTCTAGGGCCAACCTTGGCCAATCGCCTAACCTTGGGAAACCCCCTCCTTTCTTGTCTAGGTTTGAACTTTATTGCCCTTGCTGAGTTTTTGCCAGCAGCACTTTAAAGGATTGGAGCCCCAGAAGAAGGGTGTGTTGCTGAATTCTGGAGGGGCAGGAAATGAGAGAATGTGATCTTTGAAAGACTCCTCTAGTGTTAAGGCAGAATGGTCAGGATGTGCAGACGTTTACTTCAACCCAGGTGTCATGGGCAGAGCTGGAAAATATTCTGCAAAGCCCCTGCAATCTGGTCTGGACAGAGCCAGTATCCCATGCATAATGTATGGAGTGAATTGTCTAGTAACCCTGCCTGGATCAGGACGCCTCTCTAACCCTGGAAAGCAAGCTCTGAAGAGGGTCCAGCCCAGGGTTCAGGTTGAGTATATGTGTCCCACGCTCTACAGTCTGCTGTTGACAAAGCACATTGGAATATGTTTTTATAAATATATTCCAAAATCCAGAGTTCTGAATTTATAGCATTATTATTCTATAATCTAACCCACCCCTCATAACTTAATTAATTAATTTATTTTTTTAGACAGTCTCAAGCCGTTGCCCTGGGTAGAGTGTCATGGTGTCATAGCTCACAACAACCTCCAACTCTTAGGCTCCGGCAATCCTCTTGCCTCAGCTTTTCCATTTTAGTAGAGATGGGGGTCTCGCTTTTGCTCAGGCTGGTCTTGAACTCTTGAACTGAAGCCATCCACCCACCTCGGCCTCCCAGAGTGCTAGGATTATAGGTGTGAGCCACCATGCCCTGCTGATTTCTTCCAGAATGTTCTCTGAGCATATACTACAAATACCTAGAAAAGAATGGATTCACACTCATCAAATTTGTTCCTCAAGTTCTTGCCTTCCTTCAATTTTACAAAATAGCTTGACTAATTTTTCCTCTTTTTTTTTTTTTTTTGAGACAGCGTCTCACTGTGTGGCCCTCAGTAGAGTACCATGACATCACAGCAACCTCTAACTCTTGGGCTTACGCGATTCTCTTGCCTCAGCCTCCCTCACCACCTGCCACAAAGCCCAGCTATTTTTTTGTTGTACTTGTCATTGTTGTTTAGCAGGCCCAGGGCCAGATTCCAACCTGCCAGCCCCGGTGTATGTGTCCAGCGCCCTGACCACAGAGTACAGGCACTAAGCCTAATTTCCCCTTTATCCTTGGAATTCTCTCTAATTCTTTTTAACAGTTGCACATATTATCTTCATACTAGGATGGGTGAGACAATACTGTCATGGGAAGTTAGGTGAGAGCTTCAGAAAGGGAGAGCTGCTATTCCAACTGGGGGGAGGCTATGTGGCGTGGGACACCTCTCCCTGGCTCTAGTCTTGATGGCAGAAGTGGCCTGGAAAAGGCAAACATTTTTTCGGTATAACCCCTGCCTAAAACATAGGCAATAAAAGCAAAAATAGACAAATGGGAGGGTGGTGCTTGTGGCTCAAAGGAGTAGGGCGCCAGCCCCATATACCAGAGGTGGTGGGTTCAAACCCAGCCTTGGCCAAAAACTGCAAAAAAAAAAAAGACAAATGGGAGTACATCGAACTAAAAACAAAAGTGGGAAGAGACAACTTACAGGACGGGAGAAAATATTTTTGAACCATACATTAAAGAGTTAATTTCCAAAAAACAAACAACAACAAAAAAAACCCCAGGCACATCTTGAAGAAATTGCTGGTTCAGGTACAGACTAGGATGTAGTAAATATTGCAATTATGTAAACTGCAGAAAATTTGGGCTTCCCAATGCCTATAAAAGTTGTAGGTACCTGTTACTGTAATCTATGAGTTTGTAATAGTATTGTGTCTAAAAAATGTATATACCTTAATTTAAAAGTACTTTAGGACATTTGACTGAATTTTGCATTTCTTGTACGTATTTATTAAACATGCAGTTTTTGTGAATGATAAAAATTAAAAAAAATTAAAAAGTACTTTATTTCTGGTAAAATGGTAACAGTCATCAGAGTCAGAATCTTAGTGATCAAGGAGCTTGCTCAATGTTGATGGCTTGCTGACTCACTAGGGGGGTGGTGTGGTAATTTCTGAAAACAATACCGTGAATCTTGCCACATCAATGGACTCTTCTTGTCACCAAAGATTTACCCATCATGCATGATGCTGTTTGATAGCATTTAACGTACAGTAGAACCTCTTCCAAAATTGGGGTCTGTCTTCTCAAACCCCGCCACTGCTTTATCAATTAAGTTTATGTAATATTTTAAATCTTTTGTTATTGTTTCTATGTTCATAGGGTTTTCCACTACAAGTAGACACCAACTCAAGAAATCACTTTCCTTGCTGACCCTTAAGAAGCAACTCCTCATTGTTCAAACTGTTTTTTTGGTTTTTTTTCCAGAGAGTCTCACGCTGTCATCCTGGGTAGAGTGCCATGACAGCAACCTCAAACTCTTGGGCTCAAGCGATTCTCTTTTCTTTCTTTTTCTTTTTTTTTTTTTGAGACAGAGTTTCAAGCTGTCGCCCTGGGTAGAGTGCCATGATGTCACAGCTCACAGCAACCTCCAAATCTTAGGCTTACACGATTCCCTTGCCTCAGCCTCCCAAGTAGCTGGGACTATAGGTGCCTGCCTCAACGCCTGGCTATTTTTTGGTTGTAGTTGTCATTGTTGTTTGGCGGGCCCGGGCTGGATTCGAACCCACCACCTTAGGTGTATGTGGCTGGTACCCTAGCCACTTGAGCTACAGGTGCTGAGCCTCAAGTGATTCTCTTGCCTCAGCCTTCCAAGTAGCTGGGACTAGAGGAGTCCACTACAACACCCAGCTATTTTTAGAAACGGGGCTTGCTCTGGCTCAGCTGGGTCTCCTGAGCTCAAGCATTCTACCCACCTGCCTTGGCCTCCCAGAGTGCTAGGATTACAGGTGTGAGCCACTGTGCCCAGCCTTCATTGTCCAATTTTATCATGAAATGGCAACTATTTGATCCTATCTTCAGCCTCTACTTCTTCTTCTTTTTTTTTTTTTTTTTTTTTTTTTGCTGTTTTTGGCCAGGGCCGGGTTTGAACCCTCCACCTCCGGCATATGGGGCTGGCGCCCTACTCCTTTGAGCCACAGGCACTGCCCTCAGCCTCTAATTCTAGTTCTCTTGTGACTTCCTTCACATCTGCAGTTACTTGCTCCACTGAAGTCTTGAACCCCTCAAAGTCA